AACGAAAGGTATCGTCAGAAGATGAAGCAATACTATGACGAAAGGAAGGGGGTAGACAACCACCACAAGCCCAAAGTATGCGACAGAGTATTCATGAGAATGCCCAGGGAAAAATACGTGATCGAACTCCCTGAGCTGGCAGTTGACTGGAGTGGACCTTTCAGGGTTCTTGAGGTCACTGATAACTCGGCGCTTATAAAAACTCTGGCCGCCAATGAGGACCTTAGTCGCGTCCAGTTTGACCTCTTAATCAAGTGCCCGAGGGAGATAGATGATGAGTCAGTTTGTGTGGTGACTAGGAGGAAGAGGGGAAGAAACCCAGAGACAAAGGGGTGGTACAAATGACAGCCGAATCAGTGCTGGTGTAAACATCTGTTTCAGGGCTGTTGATGAGTTCGACGTCAACGACACCATGCACTTTCTTCATGTGATGTTTAAATGACGGGCAGCCGTTCCCAACCGTTGATGGTCGCTCTGGTTTCAAGCTCGATCAGTGTCGCTGTGTCGGTGTATTTGTGTGAGAGATTTACTGCCGACAGTCCCACAGCCAGCTCGTTAGGAAAGGGTAGCATGCGTGCTCAATGCTGCGAGGATTTTTGCGATATGGTAGAGCACTGGCTCCATAACTTTCAAGGTTAATAGGATCGTGGACAAATTGTTCCTGGCTATTAGTCAGGCCATCGGAAAGGAGTATGCATTTTTTTCGGTATCGCTGATTACACGTCTCTATAATGGCAGGACTGGTTCCACAGGAAGCGATGCTGCGGCATTCATTAAGAAAAGGGTGGCAGTGGGACACGATTAACTGAATTTGGATGGATGACCTCGCGCCAACTCAAATGCTGATAATTGTTCAACTGTGCAGGGTGCGAACGAACACCCGCGTGTTGAAGCTATAATGCCGGAAGTCCTCCACAGACCAAAACACTGCTTATCGACAAGGACTACGTTCTTCTATTATAAATCATTCAAGGACATTCGTACAACGAACAATAACCTTTTGCTAACGATGTCGGTGTCGTTGTGCTCATTTTACCGCCGAAGGAGCCCTCCAATGCGTACTCATGGATTCAGTTTGCAAATGTTCTGAATCTTTGGCTCAGCTGTAGCACTCAGATCTGTATAGTGAATGGACCCAGTCCGAGGAAGCAAGTTAGGATCGTTTGAACGAAAAAAACCAGATGTTATTTGCAAGGATACACGGATGCATTTCCGGCGTTTGTCGCAATTTCACGACATGATGCATAAGCCGGCGTGCTTGAATCGTTTATGGCTTGTTTCAAAGTCGGCATTGCTCGAGGTCCCTAAAAAATGGTGGGTGGTTGAACAAGCGATAGAGTTTTGCGATCTTTGCGGTTTTAACACATTCACGCCGATGGCCGCCCATATGGGCTGCCAACAACATGCGCTCCTGGGACGATGGCATATGGGCTGCCAACTGATAATCGCTTGCTAGGCGCTAGGAATGGACAGATAGTGGGCAAACCTCGTAATCGAGTTTGCGTTGACACTAGAGCGTCCATACTCGCAAGTGTCATGTGGGGTGGGACGGGGACATTGTTGGTGGGTGATGAAAGTGGTTACAACTGATAAGGGCTGATAAGGCGCGTCAGAACGCAAAAGTCGTCGATTCCGTTACGTAGCTTGCGCTGACACTAGAGCGTCCCTACTTACAAATTCTATTTGTAGTGGTACGTGCAAAAAAATTCTGTCACGGGAAAGTGAATAAATGCTCTCTTTTCGTAACCACTATTTGTCGTTCTGATCGAAATCCTACTGTTATATGTTTAGATAATCTTTACGCATTGGACATTGCAGAAATTATTTTGTGACATTCATGTTTTTGTTCATTTACAAAACAAAATCTGCGGTTATGTGGTGAGGCGGCGGCGCCCACAAAATCGCGTCCGTCCCACGCGACCGAAAAGTGGAAAAGGGGCGTCGTCGTGAATGTGTTAACCAAAAGATGTGGCGGGCTAGGAGCTACTGAAGGTACCTAAATCGGTGCAGAGGTCGGCAGGACAACCGTCGACAGGTCATTACTTCTAGGTGTGCCGAAAGTTCGTGACGGACGGGTATCAAAGCGTCACTTGAAAAGAGTCGAAAGAAGAAAACCACGACCACTTGAACGCGTCGCATTTGAATGTAGAAGTTCTGGGGATAGATATCCTTCAGGGAAGAGCATGTTGGAGGTTGGTAGCCAATACTCACCAAACTAAAATGATAAAGGCATTTGCCTTTGATCAATCCCTTTTTGGGATGCGGCACGCATTCCATCTCTACATTCA